CTTCAGGGGTTCCTATTGACTATCTTAGAAAACTAGTATTGAAATCCATTCCCTTAGAAATTCCAGCAACTTCCTATTTCTCTTATGATGTCTCACATTGATGATCTCAAAACCATCGTCGTATGATCGAGTGGTTAATGACTATCATGTGGAGACTCAAGGAGAAGTTCCCAATAAGATCTCAAGCCCTAGGAAAACCTCTTCATGACTTCATCATCACACACACACACACACAAAATGCACAAAATTGACTGAGTTGTGTAATGTCGGACTAAAATTGAGCTGAAAGGATGAGTAAAAATACGAACTTCTCCGAAAGACCTCCAATGACGAAATGGACTGCGCCAACGCGTCCGGAACACCAATTTTAGCTAGTAAAGACATTCATATTGTCATAATTACGCACACGAGCAAATTGCACGCAAATCGATGAATTCGTTAAAACGACCTCCCACGACGAAACGGACCACGCCAACGCGTCCGAAACGTCAGAATTACCTCAAAAGGACATTCATTTTGGCTATGATTTGACACACGAATAAAATGTACGAATCAAATTTTATTTTTGGGAAATATTATATATTTTATATACTTTTATATTTATATCATTATTTATAATAAAATTTTTAATCCTAAACCTTATTCACAACCTACCTGCACACTTAGCTCTTCGTTCGACCCATCTCACGACTCTGTCAGCCGCAACAGCGTCCCTCTTGTGTGAGCCCTAGATCTCGCGAGCGATCAACGCGACGATCTTTCCCTCTCTCTCGACTCTTCTCCTTCCTCATGTGGCCGCTTGACCTCTCCACTCTCCAATCGTGGGAGCTCGGCTGTCCGACCCTTCTTCTCGAGGCTTTACTTTCTCCTCCTTTATGGTGACGATTCACTCCCGTTATTTGATTCAACCACCTTACTGTGGTAGGTGGCGGTTCCCCCCTTCATCTCTACCTATAAAAAAACTTCCTAAAATACTATTTTGGGTTGTTGAAAATTTTTTGAGGGAAAGAAAGACTGAATTTCTTTTGCTAGTTACTGTTCAAGGCTTTTAGGAGAAGGCTCTGCCGAAATTCCTTCTCGGCTAGGTTCTTGTGTGTTGGGGTGTTCGTGGGTTGTTGCTTTCTCAAAGGTTTTGGGAGAGGAGTTTCTACAAGAAACATTTTTCTTAAATTTATTCTAAAGTTTTTTTTTGTTTTAAGTCTGCATTAAAAATGTATTTTTCTTCCTCATTTCTGCAAGCATTAAAGGAGATATGTGATTACTCTACTCTCATGTCTTGGTTTTGATATATAAGAGTATATGTTGGCAATTTTATGCTGATGATTTCTTACCTAGCGACATGAGTAATATTTCTAATATCTGTCATTTGGAATTACTCCTGAATGCATGTTCTTTCTAATGCACATGAAATTGGGAAATTAAGGCTACTTTAAGATTTATTTGAGCTTAGCATTAAGAATGAGAATGACTATAGGATTATGAGCTGGAACATAATTCGTGGCTGCGTTTTTCTGATTGAAATGCATGTTGGATGGAAATTTATTTTTTTAAATTCATTAGGTGCCTATTTGGAGGTCTCAGTTTTTCTCTATAATGCTATTTGAAATACATGCTAAATGAAATGTTGGTTCGAGACTTAATTCTTAAGCTCTTTATTATTGGTACCCCTGTTCAAATATATGCTAGAATTCATTTATGCTTATTCGTTCCGTGTTACCTGTTATTATTTGAAGCATATGTTGGGTACAAAACTTTGCAAAAATTTGAAATACAAGGCTGTAAGAGATTTGAATTTGATAGCCCTATTTTGACCCATTTGTTGGACTCAGTTTTCTTTGGATTCTTTTGAATATCAGTTGGACATTCTTGTTATGTTTTTCCATTTGGTGGGCTCTGTTTTGGATGGGTTTTAGCTGGAAGCGTTTTTTTATGTATTGGATTCGTTTTGACTCAAAAATTTATCTGTTGTTGGCTCTCTTTTGATGAGTTTAGTTGAGCTAAAATTGTGTTTTTGGTTTGCCCCTGTGTTGGGCTCGATTTCCCCATGTGTTGGGCTCGGTTTGCCCCTTGTGTTGGGCTCGATTTACCCTGTGTTGGGCTCGGTTTATCTCCTTTTGGGGTTTTGTTTTGGCTGGAATTCTTTTCTGTTTTAGCCCCCTTTGCTTGGCTCGATTTAGCTCTTTCATTGGGATCGGTTTGACTGGAGGTTTCCTCCTGAGATTTTTATTGGTAACCAAGTTTGTCATCCCAAAATTTATGATTTCAATATCTACTTCTATATGAGAATGTTTGATATAAATGAATCAATTCACTATCTTGTCTTGTTCAATAAAATGACTTCAATCTAAATAGGTTATGGAAAATTGTCCATTCACTCTCTTATGTATATCAAAGGGGCATAATAACAATGCTGTGGTGGTTTTCCCTTGCTGCCCTTACCCGTGAGCATCCTAGTTGGTTTTCCTTTTGTCCTGTTTGGCTGTTCTCTGCTGCCCCTATTCAAAGAGTGTTGGAATCTGTTTAGATCTTAAAGAATTTAATTTTAGATTCTTGGTTTTATCTCCTGATATTTCCTCTATTCAAATATATGTTGGGGCTCGTTTTAATACTTTAAGATGTCTATTTTGTGGTTCAGTTTTGGCTCCCTATTATGGATGCCTCTGTTTGAAACATATGAAGGTGATTTTATTTGATTTTTGGGGCTTTGTGTTGCTTCCCTTGGTTGTTCCTGGCCATGAACCTCCATGTCTCGGATTCTTTGATTCTCTGTTGCTTGTTCCTACCCGAGAGCATCTAATTGTGATTTCCCTTATATTGGGCTCGGTTTGCCCTTTTGGTTGCTACCCCTGCTCGAGTAGGAGTTAATAACTTCTCTAGATGTTCCTGGCTGTGAGCTTTTCTTGTAGTATCCTTCTGTTCTGTTTAAATGTTTCCTGTTGCCTGGGTGATGAATATTTGGCTGAATGTGCTATTTTGGGGCTGAATTGAGTCTTTTATGTTGTGTTGACCTGTGATCCTATTATAGTTTTAATTCGGGCTCGACTGGCCCTCCTTGGTGCCTTTGCCCGTGAGCTTGATGGTTGATTTTCTCTCTATGATCTTGGTCCCTCCTTGGTGCCTTTATCCGTGAGCTGAACCTGGACGGGCTTCTCCTGTTACCCCTACCCGTGAGCCTATTTTGGGTGGTTCTCCTTGCTACCCCAGCAATGAATGTTTATGCGCGATCCTTTGGAAGAAGTGGGGCTATGTGGCATGGGAACTCTTTTTAATTTAATGCAAAATTGAATATTTTAATGTTGGTGAAATACAAATTTGTCAATTCTTAATGTTTAAAAGAATTCAAAATATACTTTTGTAAGGAACGACCTGTTAAATGTTTGGAAATGATACCCTTTTTGGGTTGATCCATTTATAAAAGTTGAGAAAATGATATCCTTCTTGGATTGATTCAAGGATCTTGGGCTCTCTTTTTCAGGTCTTTTTATCACAGTTTTGAGGGTTGCTCTACCCTTCATTCTCTCGATCTTTTGGGTGAATCAATTCCTCCTCTCTCACATCCCCATTTTTATTCTTTTTTTCTTTGCTTTTTGGTTCGGTTTTCAGTGCTTATGTTTGACACATAAGTGCCCATATATAGCCTTTTGCTGTATATGAAACCATCAAATAAGGTCGCAACTAGGTCTGTTTTGCTTTGGGGCTTAGGGCGATGATGACAAAGGCACGCCGGTGACACTCTTCATCACTGTTCATTCCTTTGGATTCCTTAAAAATAACTGTTCCTATTTGAGCCATTCTCATTTGATTTTCTCATGCCCAATCTTGGAAACCTAAAATTTGAAATCTGAAAGGTAAAACCACTAATCTTAATCGAGAGATTTCTTAAGTGACCCCGGTTATTTAAGATGTAATTAACTATAGGGGTTTGTCTCTATAGAGAACTTGGAACTCAGGTAAAATAAACCCTATGTAATCCTCATATTAGGTAGGAGAACTTGTTGGCCTCATATAAAATATTTCGCAGACCAAATGAATGTCACAAATTCTTTAGTTTAGTTGATTGAGCCTACTACAACTGATATGTTTATTCTTCGGGATAAGTATATTACTTGTGATATTGTGCTTAGTCATCCAAACTATTTAAAATGTAAGACTCGATTGGTCTCATCTATTTCAAGAATTACAATATTACTTTCAAAAATAAAAAATCATATTTGCATCAAAACCATTTTCATATTTTTTAAAACAACGACCAACACTTGTTAGCTGGTGAGTCAGCTCGTTTTAAAAAATATTAATATAAAATATACTCAAAATATATTAAATATGAAGTCTTTGTCTTTAAAGTGTTAAAAATATTAAAATTTTTTTTTTGTATTTTATATTAAGTGATTTTTTTTTCCTCTCCTAATTGATCATTATATTTGTGATTTTATTATAACACTATTTTAAATTAATATTTTACTCTCTATTTTATAATAAACAAGCCAGATTTTATAATAAACAAATTAGTTCGCAAGCAAGCTCAAACTCGTAAACTTATGGTCGAGTTTGAGCTCAAATTAGATAAAATTAATCAAGCTCAATCTTGATCCGAGTTTGGCTCGAGCTCGACTTGACTCGTTTAAACCCCTTTGTAGAATCATGCGGAAATTGAGTTCAACACATCTTAACACTTGATGGCCTAAAATTCTATTGGATCGGCATTTTGGAAGCAATAATGAATTTTTATGACAAATGATGCATAAATGTATAAAATTTCATGAAAAATAAGTTGTATAATTCTTTTGCATAGATATATTTTGTGGTTAGTTCTAATGGCATTGATTATTGTAAAATATTTCAATGGGCTTGGTCATTCTGTTCATTAAGTTTGCCACTGAATAAGACTTAGAGAATTCCATCTCATTTTAATTCAAAAGTATAAATTTCTTTGTAAAACGATTTGTACGGGTGTTCCAGCATTTGTTTGAGTAATTTATTTATTTATTTTTATTGCTTAGGTTATACAAAGATGAGAAAAAAAGCTCAGACAAATCAACCTTCCTGTCTTTAAAACCTGGAGAAGCTTTACCTACCAAAGTCATTCCTGTCGTGACCCTCGATAACCACGAGCCTTGGAAGAAACGAATCTTTGATCCCGGAAGTGATGTCATGATCAAATGGAACCATGTTTTTCTCACCACAGGCTTGATTGCTCTATTTATAGATCCCCTGTTTCTCTACTTGTCTTCAATTGAGAATGGGGATAAAATCTCATGTGTGAGAAAGATAGACCGGGGTTTGAAAGTTGCAGTTACTATTTGCCGGTCTATTGCTGACACATTTTATTTATTGCATATTTTTTTCAAGTTTCGAACAGCATTTATTGCGCCAAATTCTAGGGTTTTTGGAAGGGGAGAACTTGTCATGGACCCTAAACAGATAGCAGAAAGGTATTTGAAAACAGATTTCCTTATTGATTTTTTGGCGGCGCTACCTTTGCCACAGGTACGCATCACTCTCTGCCTAAGTTAGATTTTGAAATATTATTAATCCGTCCTTAGTTGCTTTATTTTACTATAAATGTTTAATTACTTTGTAAGAATAATGGTCCTGCACTCTGCTCCATCACCACACAAGTTAAAAAAATAAAACTATTCACACATCTATTTGCACTTTACTTTCAATTAAGAGATTGGAAAAAACCAATGAAACATGTTTTGACAGCTTTCATGGACTCATCGAAGCAGGAGAGCAAGCAAGCAAAATCAAATTAGATCTACTTTATATGATAACGTACAAATGAGTAATTTATGCCACAAGTGCACCAAAACCAGTTATATTATACTTGATGGATTAAGATGAACAAATGAATAAGAGCAACACACCAAATACTAACTTTAATTTTGATAGGAGCAATGCTATTGGAGAACTTTATAAGCTAGAACATGTTCAACACAACAACAACAACAACAACAACAACAACAACAACAACAACAAGCCTTTATCCCACTAAGTGGGGTCGGCTACATGAATCCTTTTCTCCATTGTGTCCTATATTTTTAGTGTTATATTTTCATTTGATTCTAATAAATAAAGATTATTTTTTATACAATATGCTCTAGTCTTTTTAGGTATATCTCTACCTTTCTTAACATAAGTCGAATCTAAAACATCTACTCGCCTAACTAGATCATCAGATGGGCGACGTTAATTGGACCAAACCATCTAAGATGATTCTCTCTAATCTTGTTTGTTACTAGAGCTACACCAACCCTTTCACGTATACATTCATTTCGCATTTTGTCTCTAATTGTCAAGCCACTCATCCACCTAAGCATTCTCATCTTAGCAACACTTAGCTTTTTGCTTCTCTTTTAAAGGCCAACATAAGCTAGAACATATTACGATATCAAAATTATGAGAGGCAGTGTTTTAATATCAAATTTAACATCAGGTTGCTATTGAATTGAAGTTTAGCATTTTAATTTTGAGAGCGTTTTAATTATTATAATCAATGATCAATGCTTTTTCTCCCTAGATAACCACATAATTAAGAAAAATTAGGCCTAATTGAGAAAATTAACAAATTAACCAGTTGATGAGGGGTGAATACGTATCCTCCAACTATTTCGCCCATATTAAGCATTACACACTCTTTGTTTAAGATTTCTAATCGGCATAAACCACAATATTTAATTATGTCTCTCGATCACTAGGGGAGTCTCAATTATGGATATTTGGTGGCTCCATTTATATATTTAGTGCTATAGATTGCTTCTTGTGTTGTTATTTAGCTTGCCCTTAATATTTTTGTACTATACAGGAAATGTTGTTGCCTTAGGAGCTCTCAACGATTTCTTTTTTTTGCTAATAATATTTGTAAATAGTCACACTTAATAGAGGCCATGTGTTTGAATTCAGAAATTACCTGTCTTCCATCACCATGTAGATAAGTGCATCAATGAAGCTCCAAAAGCCCTACAATTGTTAGCAGACTTGTTCATTGGCCATGCCTTCTGTGCTTATAAAATGGCACACATCCTGACATACTCTCTTCTCAGTGCTTGTGTGTGAATGTGCGAGTGGACGGGATTTACCTGTTATGATATATTTGCAGTGGGAGAATTCCAACCTTTTGCTGCTCCAGCCCTTGCGGGCCCTAATTTTATATTATTTGCAGTAGAATTAGGGCTATTTTATGTTATGGAAAGTAATAAATTTAATGGTTGTATATTAGGAAGCTTGGTTATGAGAAATCAATTAAATATATTTTCTTTTTTAGGTAACTAATTAGGGGAGATATAATTACATGATTCTTTCTCTGTTAGAGATTCCTAATATATCGAGATTGGGGTTTATATAAATATTTGACATGTTTTCGTTTGAGGAACAAGAAAGAAGGGTCATTTTCCTTCAAATAGTATTAGAGCAATGAACTGCTCATCGCTTCTGCTTCTTAGTTCGGCGCCGTTTCTATACTGTTGTTCGAGTTTTTTGTTTGAATCGCTCATTTGCTTTGTCAGTGTCGTCTTCGTATCTTCGTTCCCTCGCACGTCTTCATCTAAATCGCTTGTCGAAGGCGCAAGATTAAGGCACTGATCAAAGCTTCATCTTCATTCTGGGTATCGTTTGAATCTTTGTTTGTTTCGTCTTCTTACCGCGACATTCGTCACTCAAGGGCCATCGTCCGACGCTAGTAGCCATCTCTCATGGCGTCATTTGTCGCGTTTGTTTGTCTTCGGCGATAGTTGAACTATTCATCGATTCGTTTGTCTCCTACGACTCGATATTAGTCTTCTCTCACTTTCATCTCGTCCTTCAGCTCGTTCGTGTCGTCACGTTAAGGAATCCATCATTGGGATTAGTTGATTCAATCTCCTTGAATATTTGGTGATAATCATGGACATTGAACAGAAATATATTGTGATCAGTTTGATTTTATTAGTGACTAAAATTGCCGTTGAAAAGTTAAATGACATAATTGGATTAAAGCTGTGAGACTCTATTTAAGAAGCATTTGTTAAGAGAAGTCACCTCATTGATAATCCCTCAATTTAAACTTTATCTAAATTATTCCGAGTGGATGAGAGTTGATGCCAAACTTTTGATACAAATACGAAACTCTATCAAACTTGATCATTCTTGTCATATTCTCGTTGTGACTGTGATAAAGATGTAATGAAAGGATTAATATTTTTTTTGGAAGAAAATATTTATAGAATCTTTAATGTATGCAAGGAGTTTTATTGTGTTGAACAACATGATCGATCACTTAGCACTTATCAATGCACCTTAAATGCGTTTATGAAAGATTGAATGCACTATTTTCATTTAGTATTGATGTCCGAATTCAGCAGGCTCAAAGAGAATAAATTTCCATAATGAGTTTTCTAGCTGGATTCAACTCTTAGCATAAAGGTGTCAAATCACAAATTTTGTCTGACCCAGTAGTTATTATTCTGAGGAAAGCCTATATTAGAGTGTTGCGTAATATTTTGAGTTCTCAAGTTTCATCCTTACAATCTAGTGCTCTTGTTAGCCAAAACAAATAGATATCAGTGAACCTCAGTCTCGGGTAATTATGGAAGTGAAATTTCAAATTCTGAAAATCATGGCTCAAGGGTAGCTCGTACTATTGCCAAGAACCTGGTCGTTCGAAGAGAACATGTCAGAAGGTGCTGAAAAAGAATCAAAGGGGTTGTAGATTACATATAGTTCGCGTGATCACTACTAATGAGACATCTCATTGTCAAACTCTCGATTTATGCTAACAAATATGCTAAATTCATCTAATTTCAACATGCATCCAAGAAATCTCCCTCTATCACTAATCTTATCGAGTCAGGTATCAATAATATTTGTCTTATCCCCTCTCATATAATGGGTCATTGATTCGATTGCTATATATCACATGCTAGATTATTCACTACTCTTTTTAACTTTTCATAAATATTTTTCTTCCATCACCTTAGTAGATAAATTTACCTCTAATTTTCTTAGTTTTGGTACTGTCAATATTGCACCTGCATTACCTTTAACATCTGTCTTTAGTTTACTTTTATTCTCTTTTAATCTTATCTTTGTTAGCAAAATTACTCATGCTCCTAATTGTTTTCTTTATTCTTCCATGACCATTATATTTTTCAGGATTTTATGATGAGAAAGTTTATTGGTAAAGGACGAGAGTCGGGAGGGAGGACTATATATTCTGGATAACCATTGACTTTGATTCATAACCTGTTCCAACACCTGATCTTCTTTTAAGATTCATTGTTGATTAGGACATCCATCATCATCAATGCTAAAAAAGTTATACCATTAATTTCTACAATTTTCATCTTTAGATTATAAGTCATATCAATTTCTTAAGCACTATCGCTTTTCTTTTGTTCCTAGAAATAATAAACGATTTATTCATCATTTTGATTTGGTTCATTTTGAGGTATGGGACCTTGTTCAGTTGTATCTAATAAATTTCAATATTTTTACCTTTGTGGATGATTTTTCTTGTATTATTTGACTTTTCTTTAAGAAATTTTGTATTGAGTTGCTGTCACATTTTTATTCTTTTTGTGTTGAAATTAAAACTCTATTCAATATTTTGGTTAAAATTTTGAGAACTGATAATCTCAAAGAATAATTTTCAGCATCTTCTTAGACATACAAAATTTTGGTTAAAATTTTGAGAAGTGATAATGTCAAAGAATATTTTTCTGCATCTTTTTAGTCATACATAATATAAAATGGGTTGCTTCACTAGTCATCTTGTGCTGGTACCCCATTCCAAAATGGCTTATTTGAAAGGAAAAATAAACATCTTCTTGAGACATCTTGTGCTCTTTTGTTTCAAACGAATGTGCCCAAATTGTTCTAGGTTGATATAATATTTACTGCATATTTTTTGATCAATTGGATGTCTTTTACTATTTTACAGAACCAAATATCCTACCAAATTTCATTTCTAACTAACTTTCTCCCTTTCCTATTGAACCATGTATATTGGGGTAAAATTGTTTTGTTTGTGATACTTGGTGTGTCTTTCAAAGATACCCTCGCTTGCAAAAAAAGGTATCATTGTTTTTTTGCTCTCTTAAACAGTTACATGGTTTTTGATGATGTTACATTTCATGAACGTATTCGATTCTTCGGTGAATTTTAATTGTTTGAATCCTTACAAAATTCTGATGAGTTGTTAATATTTCACATCATCAGTTCAGATCATGCTCCGGCTCCGGCCCCAGCTCCAGCTCCACCACCACTGCCACAGTTTAGACCACCCATCACTAATTTTACTCTAGATGATCTTGTCTCCTTGATCCTATTCCGACACTGGTATCATCTTCTTCAATGAATCCTCTTAGTGATATTGATTTACTTATTACTCTTCGAAGTGGTAAACGTCAATATGCCTATCCCAATTTCTTTATGTTAACTATATCCTGTTATCTTCTACTTCATGCTCATTTATTGCTTCTTTTGACTCTGTTGAGGTCTTGAGATCTGTT